ATAGTTTTTGATGCGCACACCGAGATATGTGCATGTACACTTAGTTTATGTTGTTTTGCATGTACTATCGAAATATTTGACACATGTTGAGTTGATGAAAGTGAATTAACATATGATAAAGTATTGCTCATGAGTTATGGATGCTCAGTATGGTTGTTTATCCCGTAATGAGACCTCGGTTGTACCATACTAGGAGTATTTGGTTGTTTTTCCAGTAACGAGACCTCGGTTGTACCTAATACTCGAAGGTGATCGGTCTCTGTTTTTCGGGTTAGGCTGAGGTGCATATTCACCGTTGTACGATCATCTAGAAGCATATCTGGAAATAGGAAGATAAAACCTATTACCGTAGGATGAATGAGCATATCCGGAAATAGGGAGATAAATCAATAATATTATGTATAAGATATTTGCTTGGGTTGTCGAGTTTGAGACTCTAGCTTTTCTCAAAAAAATATTTTCTAAGCGAAGGAATAAGAGTACCCCTCCACCCCAAAAAAAAAAAAAAGCTTCAAATCCTGGCTACGCCACTGGATTCCGCTTCCCGATCGAAGGATATTTTCTAGTTTTTGGTATTTTTCTAATTTTGTTAAACACTAATATTTTACCTTTTTCTTTTATTTTTGAGTCTATAAAAGACTCTTTTCTTGATATAGGGGGTGAAAAATAAAACACTAGTTTATTGACTGCGACTGTTTTATCTAGCATTCTCTCTCTTTTACTTCTACGTTACTCAGGTTGCAGCCCTAACAAGACTTACATGCATCATGATAGACTTGGCTGACATATATAACTGTCATGCTTAATGATGCTATCAATGATGGATCTAGGTGTTAGGACGTGAGGGCACACGCCCCCACGCGTGTGAGAACTTTCGTAGAAATAGGCGGAGCAATAACGAACTAAAAGAGACATACATAGGGGAGGTATTTTAATTTTGTGAGGGAAGGGTTGTCATTTTGCAATCCAATAAAAAAATTTGCCTTTTGCTCCTACCATCTTTACGATAAAAACCTGGCTCATTTCTTCAACCACAAGTACATGCATGCGTAAAGATCAATAAAGCTCCTTTTTAATCTGTTAACTTTATATATAATTTACCAACTTGGATTATTAAAATCCGTTAGTTTCGTAGTAGCATCAATCCTTCTTAAAAGATAAAATTATTGATTCAAAGTATTCATGGTGCGGTTGTTGTGGAGACGGCCTAATTGTATGAAAGATTAACGATGAAGAGGTTGGTCTTCTCACGTCTGAATTAAGAACGAGGGGAATCTTTTTACATCCATTTGCCCAATAATATTAAAAAAAATATTCCCTCAAAACGGAAAAAGTTGAGAGAGTTGGTGTGAACGCGGGCAGTAGTTGATCAGTGGCATCACTTTCCAAGTATGTACAGAAAATGTTTGGAAAGAGGAGACTACCTTTGACAATTGTGCGATGATGGGCTTCCACCAAACCTTCGATCGCAACCTCCATTTTGAAATGCAACACCAAATTAATTGGGCCTGCATGGGACAAAGGCCAACTACCTTTCTCTTGTTATTGTATAGTTGGTGATTTCTTTTTCCTTTTTAATTTTGTCTTAGAAGACTTGGGAACCAAGCGTTTGAAGTCAGCAAAAGGGGGCCAAAAGAAAAAAAAAAGAAAAAAAAAAGAAAAAAAAAAGAAGCCAAGGGTAACTTTCAAATTAAAATCCTCAATAGTTTTGGACAGTTTCCACTCAACTTTCAAAAGCTTCGAAAATTAACCGTCAATAAATTTAGAAAAACCTCCAAGACGTGTTTGTTTTCTCAGATAATTAAATTTGCATTAATTTAGTGCTTATATAAAATAGCAACAATTTAGTGCTTTGACGGACGAAATACACAAAAAGTGGTTAGAGATTGGGAGCAACGTGGATGTGAAATCGAATCTAAACTATTAAGTTTAGGTGATAAAGAGAAAATCTGTGTCATAATTAACAACTGGGCGCCCTCGCGACGAAGACGAATAGGATATAAACAATAAAAAAAATAAAATATCAAAAAGTCACACTGAGTCAGTGCAAACAGTAAGAAGTTGATGTTATCACTGACTTTAAAATCAAAAGCATGTTTGGTTTTTTTTTTTTTTTTGGTTGTTGATAAGTTCCTTCTTACCTATTTTCAAAACTCATTATAAAGATTGTAAAAAAAAAGAAAAAGAAGTAAAGTGCTTCCTAAAGCCCTTAATTTATAGGTGTATAGTTATATGTTTAATAAACCAGTAGCCTATAAGATTGTGATAGTTGTCAAATGACCGAAAAGACCTCTTGTTCGAATCTCATATCGTGAATTAATTAATTATATTTTAAGTAGATAATTATTTTTAATAAATCTATTATTTAAAAAAGTTATTGGAAATTAATTATGATTGCTAATTACTAATACTAGGACTAATTAAATAGTTTTATATTAAAATTTTATTATTAATAAAATAATTAATTATTTAATTTAAACTTAATTATTTTTAATAAGAAATATATTCAATTAAAATCTTTTTATGTATTACATTATTTTTTGTTATTATTAAAAATATTAATGTTAATCCATTAATTTCAGATTGT